ACCACTGAGCCGCTCTCTCATCCAATAGCAACGGTCAGTCCCTTGAGTCGATTCCCCCCCTAAGTCCCATCTTCGCGTGTGCAGACATGCCACCAGCCACTTCTCTAATCTCCAACCATCCAGACGGCAACACAAACGGGTTGCAACACTGCTCCAAGGCCATGATATTTCGTACAAGACGTTCGAAGCAGTGATCAACTTCCAACCGTGGAATTTTTAACACTCCTTTCTCAAATTTTATGTAGGTTGTTTTTCTTTATTTCTTGATTTTAAATTTATATATTTTAATTTTTAATTGATAAATAACGTTTTAATTTAATCTTAAATTTAGTATTTTTAGTTATTTTATTTAAGTATTTTTTTGTAGTTTTTTTTATTTTATATTTTTTTAATTAAATTTTTAATTAATCATCAAATTTTTATATTTATATAATTAAATTTATAATTTGACTAAATCAATTTTTTAAAATTATAATTTAATCTAAAACTTTTATTTTTTTTAATTAAAATTTAAATTAACTTAAAAATTATTTTTTTAAAAATCAAACCTTTTATAAATTTCATTAAATTTTTTTAAAAAATTAATTAAATATATAAATATATAATTTTATATTTATGTAATTAAATTTATAATTTGATTTAAAACTTTTATTTTTTTAATTAAAGCTTAAATTAGCATAAAAATTATTTTTTTTTGAATCAAACCTTTTATAAATTTCATTGAAAAAATTTAATTAAATATAATTAAATATATAAATATATAATTTTGAATTTTTTTTTCTTAAATTGAGTTTTTTTATCATCAAGGTTCTCATTACTAAAAAAATATACAATTAAATTTTATTTTTTATATTTTTAAAATCCCTTAACTAATTTTTAATTATTTTTTAGGTACTCTGAAATTCTCTTCTCATTGCTATTATTTTTTTATTTTCTTTTAAATATATTATTTTTTACTTTTTTGTATTTTTATTGTATGAAGACCCAAAAAAAAGATAACAACATGAACAATAGAGAATTTACCACCATTCATTGGGAAAGGAGCGCCGGCCCAGACCAAAATGGTCAGGTGGGGTTTAGCCTACTCCAAAAATAATTTTAAATTTTTTTAAAAAAACTTTATAATTTTCATACATAATTTAATATCAATTTTAATTAATATTAGATTGTGTTTTTATCTATAAATATACAAATCTGATATTAAAATATTATATTTTCTTTAAAATATTACAATAAAATTATATAGAAAAAAACAAAAAAATATTTTTTTATACATCCAATCAAGTCTCTTGAAGATAAATAATTAGAAAATATAATCATATCTTAATATATATTGTACAATAAAAAAATATAACTTATCTTATATAAAATATATTTATAGTGTTAATATCTTCTCTTTATATAACTAGTTTCTGTATTCCATATTTAAAATTTTTTAAAGCTTTTCATCACCAAAATAAAATAGTAGATGATGATTTTTATTTTTGCTTTATTCGTATAAAAGATAAAAATTTATTGCTTCCCTCGTTTCTAAATACTTAAAACCATAATGTAATCAATCACCGTGATGCAGCACACTTAACAGAATGAAGTGCTTATTCCCCTGGACCAACTACAACAAGCTCCTCTGAAGCTAGTCCAAATGATGTTCCAGGAGGAGGGTGAAGAATTCTGCTCACAGGTTTTCTGGGAGTGGCAGGGAGCCACCTGCCACTATCACCTCTTGATGTTAATTTATAGTTGGACCCCCCCCTGCCACTATCACCTCTTGATGTTAATTTATAGTTGGAATGTCAGAGGGCTTAACAGCCTTCTGAAGCGACATGAGGTTGGTAATTTCATGAGGAAGAATAGAATGGATATTTATGGTCTTTTGGAAACCTGGATATTTATGGTCTTTTGGAAACCAAGTTTAACTCTTCCATGGTTTCTTTTGTTGCAGAAATTCAGGTTGAAGAATTGGAAGTTTTTGTCTAATGTTGTTGCGGCCACCAATACTAGAATTGTGGTCTTTTGGAATCCCTCTTCTGTCAGGGTTGATCTGCTTGAATTCTCGGCTCAAGGTATCCATGTTTTGATTTATAGTTTAATTCATCAATTCAGTTTCTATGCTACTTCTGTATATGTTTTGAATACCATTGTAGCAAGGCGCATGGTGTCCCAACGGCCCCTGGCTTATTATGGGAGATTTTAACTCCATTCTCTCCCCAGAGGACAAGCACAATGTTGCAGCTGTCTCCACTTGTGAAACTACAGATTTCAGATCTTGCTGTTCAGATCATGGTCTAGCTAATTTGAATTATACTGGCTGTCAATTCAACTGGTCTAACGGCAGAGTTTGGAGTAAACTTGACAGAGTCCTTGCCAACTCTTCCTGGTCTGTTCCATTCCCAGGTGCATGTGCATTTTGGCAATCCTGGAGCCTTTTCGGATCCTTCTCCAGCCATCATTCGTTTGGAGTCACACCATGCAAAGGGTAAGAGGTGTTTTTAAATTTTTTAACATGTGGGCTCATTTCAGCCACATGTCAGAGATAGTTACTAGAGCAGAGATTGCTTTAAAAGCTCATCAAACTGCCCTCCACAATGACAAGGATAATCTTCAGTATCAAGCTTTGGATGCTCAGCTGCATCAGAAATTCCTCACTTTCAAATCAGCTAAGTGAATGTTCTTCGCTCAAAAGCTCAAATGCAATTTCTTCAAGGAGAGTGATATGGGCACCTCTTTCTTTCATGCTCTTATGAGTCATAAGCATCAAAAGAATTTTATCCCTGCTATCCAGCTCAGCAATGGTAAACTTTCTACCTCAGTTGATGAAGTTGGGGATGCTTTCGTTAATTTTTTCAAGGAGCTGCTTGGCACTTCAAAGGACACCCTTCCCTTGGATGTAGAGGTCTCTCGGTCTGGCCCTTGCATTGATACTGGACATAGTGGGTGGTGATTTTAGCCTTGATATTCATGATTTCTTTGCCACATGGGATCTTCCCAAGCAGATAAATCACTCCATTATTGCACTCATTCCCAAATCAGCTCATGTGTCGTCAGCTACTGATTTCAGGCCAATTTCTTGTTGCAATGTGATCTATAAGGTTATCTCCAAGATTCTCTCTGCAAGATTAGCTGCTGCGCTTGCAGGTATCACTAGTCCAGTACAAAATGCTTGCCTGGGTGGTAGAATGATAGCTGATAACATTCATCTTCTTCAAGAACTTCTTCGTAAATATGGGAGAAAGGGAGCTTCCCCTAGATGTCTGCAGAAAATAGACTTCAAAAAAGCTTCCGACTCAGTTCAATGGCCCTTCCTAAGGCAGCTCCTGTTGTCTTTTGGATTTCCAAGCCGCTTTGTTCATTTAATTATGCGGTGAGTGGAGACTGTTTCCTTCTCTATTGTTGTCAATGGTAACATCTATGGGTTTTTTCCCGGGAAGAATTGGATACGTCAAGGTGATCCCCTCTCCCCTTATCTCTTTATCACCTACATTGAGTACTTCTCAAGGATGCTGCAAAGGGCTTCTATGAGTCCTGGTTTTCGATTTCACCCGAAGTGTGGAGTCCATGGCATCAGTCACGTTGCTTTTGCCGATGATGTTATTCTTCTCTCTCAGGTAGTTTGCCGATGATGCTATTCTTCTCTCTCAGGGAGATAGGCAATCAGTTTCTTGTTTGTTTCAGCAGCTATTAATCTTTGGGAAAATCTCTGGCTTGTCCACTAATGTTGATAAATCTTCTATTTACTTTGGAGGGGTTGGTGAGAGGCTCAAGCAAGTCATTCTTGAGGATACAGGGTTTGTTGAAGGCAGCTTTCCATTTCGATATCTTGGAGTCCCTCTCAGTCCTCGCAGGCTTCTAGTCAATTCACTCTTCTCCAGAAACTGGAATCAGCAGTTTAGTATTGGATGGGGAAACATCTCAGTTATGCTGGGAGGGTTGAGTTGATCCGATCGGCTCTTTATGGCATGGTGCACTTTTGGCTGAGCATTTTTCCCATTCCAGAGCTTGTTATCACACAGATAGTTAGCATCTGCCAAAATTTTCTATGGAAAGGTGGTATTCAGAAGAGTAAATCAGCTTTGGTTGCTTGGAGAACAGTCTGTTTACCTAAAAATGAAGGGGGCCTAGGTCTGCTTGAGATCAAAGCACGTAACAAAAACTTCATTGCTAAGCAGTCGTGGAACATCCACCTCAAAACCGATTCCATTTGGATTCAGTGGATTCATTATTATTATCTCTCTAATCTTTCCATTTGGGATGCTTCCCCACAGCGAACTTCCTCACCATTATGGAAGTCTATCATCTCATTCAAAGATTAGCTTATAGCACACTGTGGAGGCCAGCATCAAGCTATTGCATTGCTGTATACTTGGAGCAGTGTAGACCATCCTTTCTTAGCTAATGCTTATGACTTCCTGCGGCTTAAAGGTAATCCAGTTTCTTGGGCAAAGGTGGTCTGGGAGCCTTGGTCAATGCCCAGATATAATTTTATTCTGTGGTTGGCTGTGATGGGGAAGCTTCGCACCCGAGATAGGCTTTGGTTCCAGCAAACTGATCCCAGTTGTGTTTTCTGCCGAGATGAAGAAGAGTCCCACAACCATCTGTTCTTTGCTTGCCATTGGACTTCTCTCTTATGGCGGAACTTCTCTCTTATGGCGGATGTAAACAAGTGAATGTCGACCATAAATAATGCCATTTGAGGGCTCCACTATACCGGGAACAATACTGTTGGCAGAATGCGAAGAGTCACTTGGTATTCTGATTTACTTAATTTGGGAAGAGCAAAACAAGAGGATTTTTATAATACCTGCAATTCCATATCATTTATTTTTTTGTAAATTGCAGGTTATGCACTTCATGGTTCTGCATTTCCATGAAAAAAACCATTTTAATCTCCAATTTGGGGGCGGCCTTCCTTCTCTGGCTGGCTTTGTTTCCTTTGTCTTTTGGGCAGTTCTCAGGATCCGCTTCTCGGTGTGATCCTCAAAGGGCTGTTTCGTCCTCTTTCGCTGCTGGTGATGGCCTTTTTGGGTTTGGATAGTGTTGTTGCTGCTGTCTTTTTTGTTCTTCTCAGTCTTATTTCTCTTCTGCTGCGGTTTCTCTGTGCTTGATGCCCCTGCTGGCTTCATCCGTGCTGGTCGTCAGGCCTCTATTATGTTGGCAATGTTTAAGGACTTTGCTCTTCTCTGCTGGTTCTTTGTTTGTGCATGTTCAATGCTAAGGTTCCCTTGATGCCTACTTTGATGCAGCATGGCCCATTGTTCGGGATTTGTGAGCTGGTAGCCTCTCAGCAATGCTAGTTGATTTTATGCTGTTATTTTGCTTTTGGTTAGGTAGGGCACCTTATTGTTGATTAGGTTCTAATCTACCCAAGCTCATTTTCTACTTGGTTGTCTATATTTTTTGCTGGCCTGGACGTTTAATTCTGGTTAGGGAGCATGTTCCCTTTTTATAAATCCTTGTATATCACATTCGTTGGTTCTCTAGCCCATATATTTTCTATCTTTTATATTTATATATTTTAATAAATAAAAATTAATTGAAAAACTTTGCCTAATTAATTTATTTATAATCTCGTCTATTTCTCTTGGTCTCAAGGGATATCAAATTTATTTGTTTTACATGAAAAAATATTTATTTTATTTCGATAATTAACAAATTTATAAGAATGGATATGAAGAATCTTGAATTGAGCTATTTACATATTTCTTTTTTATTTTAATATATTAAAAGAAAATTAAATGTAATTTTCTTGTGTGGCACCAAATTTATGCCTAACATTATTAATAAATTTGGTGTTTAACATTGTTGACAAAACATTGTTGACTTTGTCAACAATGTTAGGATGATTTCACATTCTCCCACTTGAAGACTTTGATGAGTTAAGTTGCTGCTGTCTTTTTTGTTCTTCTCAGTCTTATTTCTCTTCTGCTGCGGTTTCTCTGTGCTTGATGCCCCTGCTGGCTTCATCCGTGTTGGTCGTCAGGCCTCCATTATGTTGGCAATGTTTAAGGACTTTGCTCTTCTCAACTTGTTAGAAGGGGGTGCTCCATCTGCATGTTCAATGCTAAGGTTCCCTTGATGCCTACTTTGATGCAGCATGGCCCATTGTTCGAGATTTGTGAGCTGGTAGCCTCTCAGCAATGCTAGTTGATTTTATGCTGTTATTTTGCTTTTGGTTAGGTAGGGCACCTTATTGTTGATTAGGTTCTAATCTACCCAAGCTCATTTTCTACTTGGTTGTCTATATTTTTTGCTGGCCTGGACGTTTAATTCTGGTTAGGGAGCATGTTCCCTTTTTATAAATCCTTGTATATCACATTCGTTGGTTCTCTAGCCCATATATTTTCTATCTTTTATATTTATATATTTTAATAAATAAAAATTAATTAAAAAGTTTTATCTAATTAATTTATATATAATCTCGTTGATTTCTCTTAGTTTTAAAGGATATTAAATTTATTTGTTTTACATAAAAAATATTTATTTTACTTTGATAATCAATAAATTTATAAGAATAGATATGAAGAATCTTGAATTGAGCTATTTACATTTTTTTATTTTAATATATTATAAGAAAATTAAATGAAATTTTCTTTTGGTTGGACCTGATTTTTAAAATCACAATACAAATTTATTTTGTTTGTAATTCTTAATCTGAATTATGTTTTGATGTTCCAACAACTTATGAAGTGCAAACTCCATTACAATATTATTAGCTCAGAATTACAATTCATCATTACATAGGAATAATAAAGATAAACAAGATAAAATCCTAGAATGCCGATTTTACGGAAGCTATAGTCTGTATGAGAGTGAGGATAAGCAGGATAGCTGCTGCAACAGTTGCCGTACCTCTCCAAATATTGGGGAAATATACAAGTTTCAGAGTTGCTTTCATACGGTTAAAGCGGCTCTCGTAGTGGTCATTTATCTTTTCAGAGATATCACCAAAACAAGTGTAACTGTCACCAATATTTTCGCAAAAATGGTTAATTATATTTGCAACTGCGGCATCGTCACCTAGCCGGTGGATAATGATTCCCTTTCGGACTAGCAAACCCACGTCTTCTGCACTGTCGATAAGATGGTCCATAAACTTAATATAACTGCATACGTAAGCTTCAGACGGGTAGCAGCACTGCTCCAAGGCCATGATATTTCGTACAAGACGTTCGAAGCTGTGATCAACTTCCAACTGTGGAATTTGTTGCGCAAACTGGAACAAAAGCAGTATTTTCAACACTCCTTTCTCAAATTTTATGTTGACCAAGCATTTGTCTTGGGTGACCTGAAACTTCACTCCTGCCTTGCGAAGCATGACCGCACTATATTTCAGCTTGATAGGATAAAAACTATAACTTCGCTGAATGGCTCCATTCAACATCAAATTCCTCAGTAAATCAGTGAAATGCCTGCTTCCCCTTACACTCGGGCTGGTTTCTACCCCTTGTGAAAACGTGTACTTTACAAAATGAAACGTGGCAAGATCAAGAAAAGGAATGTCTGTAGCATCCTGGCTAGGGGGATTGACCTGGTCATATATTTCCTGAATAATGAAGAATGGCAGTTGGTTTTCAAGTAGCATCAAGTCTTCTCGGATGTCAAATGTCATCCTGGGCTCAAAATTCTTAGGACCGTTATCATGATCATATGACTCCAAAAAAAACTGAATGAGGAAGACAGCATCCAGCAGGATCATCTTTACGAAATCACTGCTCTTGATTAATTTGAATTTCTCTGAATAACAGTGTCGGAGACGCTCTTCTTGGTTCTCAATGCTGATCAAAATATCAATAATTTTCTTCTTATCCATCCCATCCCGTTCAGTAAGCTTTTTGAAATATTTCAGTTTCTCCTTTTCCATGGCCTCTAGTCTTATATTTTGGCTCTCAAGAGGACCTATTGAAATCAGTAGTGGAGAGTAGGCTTTCCAATTTACGTTTCGAAGCGGTTTGGGCACCCTGTAGATGCAGCACTCGGAACCGTTCCGTTTAAAGGACATCTGTTTCACCTCAGAATCCAGCTTTGCCAAAATATCTGTAGCTCTCTCTCTCTCTTTATAATAACCGGGATTTGTAGCCATCTCAATGTCTGAAGCACTTCCCACGTCAAAATCTTTTCCCTTGTTTGGAGTACCTGCCTTATCCTCTTCCATGATGCTCTTGCCTATTCAATATCGTTTTCCATGTTTGAAGCACTTGCAGTAAACTTATCCTTCTCCAGTCTGCAGGTTGGCTGAAACAAACCAAGAATGAATATCACAAATTCTCAAAACTTTTTCACTATAAAACATTCTCCTTCTCACTTTAAAGCATCCTTTTCTCTCTATTTCTCACTTGGTATAACATTAAATAGCCTAAATAATTAGCTAGATTTTGTTCATGTATATAATCAAATTTCACGCTATCAAATAAAATTGATTCTAACCAGTAATTAATTAAGCTCATTAATTAAGGATGTTTAAAACATTATATTAATTTTCAAAATATTTTTTATTTAGAAATACATTAAAATAATAATAAAAATTTAAAATTTATTTTTAATATCATCAAATAAAAACGATTCAAAAAAAATAAGGATAGAAAATTTAGAATTATTTTAGAATTTAAATAAAGATTTTCTGAAGATCAAATCTTCTATTTAAGGTGTGATCAACTTTTTTAAAGTTGAGACTATCTAAATAATAATATTTTTTTTAATTTCAAAAACTCATGCTTATAATAAAACAAAATGTGTTTTTTTTTCATAACAAAAAAGAAATAAATGAATAAGGAATGCTATTTTATATTAAAGGAATATTTTTTTTCTTATTCATTTAAATAATTAATTTTTTTATGAATATTTATTTCAATTAATTTATGTTTTGATTTATAAAAAAGCGATACTAATAAAAATGACATTTTTTCTCAAAAAAATGTATGAATTGAAAGAGAAATTCTCACTAGAGAAATAGATGTTTTCTTCAAAGAACTTAAAACATTTGATTTTATTAGAATATTTGTTTTAATTACCATAGAATTCAACAAAATAATTTCAAAATGGCAGCAACACGTAGGCAAATTAACTAGTAGTAATCTCAAGTTGAACCTCCGCTTCAATAACAAGTTCAGTGACATTAACATCAAAATTTAACACATCACATTTATAGAAAAATGCATGCTATAAAATGTTTAGTTGCTTTCCCTCGAATTTTGCAAGATAACCTATATATTTATGTTTAGTTTAATCCATGTGGGATCATCGAGCCCATATAAAGAGATAGGGGTTCAGCCTAATTTCTTAGGAGTTTTTAATATTTAATGTGTTTTATATGGAGAACAAATATAGAAATACTTTTCAAAAATAATATTTGGGTTTTGGTCAAATTCCGCAACATATGTGTTGCATGTGGATCAATTTAATTGAGAATTATAAATATACTTACAATATAATAAGAAATTATAATTTAAAATAATAAAGATTAAATTTAAAACATTGTATTTCGGTGTTCTAAATTAGTTTATAATTTCTTCTAACAAAGATGAAACTCTTTTAGGAAATAAACTAGAACACATTTCTCTTCTCTGTAATAAACTTGAACATTGTATGCTTAGAAAAGTGCACATAATTATAAAATGTTTTTAATAAAGCATTTGATGACTTTGAGATGCCAAGATGAAACTTAATCAACAAATCACTTAAAACCCATTACTACTAGTTTTTTTTTTTATATATATATAACTTATTGTTCCTTGTTTGGGTACAATCTGATTTTTTTTTCTTTTTTTTTGTTTTATTTCTTTTGTAATACTGCTGCCCATTTTTTTTAGATATGTTGCTAGTTCTCCTAAATAAATTAGTATGGGTGATTAAAGTGACAGCAAAGGGTATTGATATCGACAATCATTAGTCGACGACCACTAATCAAGTCTTGCTCTCTAGCTATCTCATAGAAATCTAAAGTCGAACCTCTGATCATTTCACAGCAGGTTCAATTAATGACTTTAACAACAAAATTTATTAGAAGTGTTTAATATATGCTGGAAAACTAAAACATAATTAAGCGAACCAACTTTAAAAAAAATAAAAATAAATGGAACTACATACACCGAACCACCTTTTGTCTGCAGAGCTTAAACCAAATCCAAAACATAACATTTCAAAAAACATTACATTTCAAAGAACAGGACAAGTTAGTGCTGACCTGAGGACGGAGATCAGAGGACTCTGTCTGTATATAGGGTCCCAAGCAGCGAGCCTCTGTCCTCTCTCTCTCTCTCTCTCTCTCTCTCTCGCCTTGTCTACCCGAATGCATATGACAATGGCTTAATTCTATATGCTATCTAGATTCTAGCTTGACGAGGGCGGGTCTAGGAAAGTCCCTTAACTTTAAAATTATTCCTAAGAGTTCAAGTATATTTGTACATAATAATCCCTATAAAAATATTAAATCTTCATTTTAGCCCTTTAATGTTGAATCCTGAATCTAGGGGCGGAATAAAGAGAAAGCAAGCAAGGGCCCGGATCCTGTAAAGAAAAAATATAATGATTGATTAAGTGTGAGAAGATATAATATTTAAATAGGTGGACCCTTCATATTTGTTATCCTTTAACTTTAAAACTATCTATGTGAAAATATATGAAGTTATAAATAATTTTTTTAGCTGAATGAATTTTACCCTTTTCTTTATCTACAGCCTTAATGTATACAAACAGAAAGATTGAAGCAGAGCGTTATTAATTAATTTTTTTTATCAAACAAATCAAGATAATTAACATCCTTAACCTCTGACTTAAAATTTATTTTTATTTTATTTTGAGATGTTTATTAAGAATTTGATGAGGTGATGAGATTTTTTTATAATTTTATTATTTTTGCTTCTTTTTGTTTTTGTGCTTGAATATACTAGTTTTACCAAATTTATTTTTGAATTCTGTCTATAGTGATGTCTTTTTTAATTAATTAGATATATTTTGTTAGTTTGTCTTGATTATATTTGATTTTTTTTATATTTTATTTTTAGTTGAATTATCAAAATTATCAATTTTTTCTCACGATATATGTTTTTATTTTATGTTGAACCATGAACAAAATAAGAATTGATTTTTTTTTAGACAAAAAAAAATAAATGTTGATAACTCACAACCTAATGAACCAATTTCAACGTGTAATATTGAGAAAAAAAAAATAAATAATATTTTATTTTATCTAATGTTTCTTATACACTTTAAATGTTTATATTTAATAGATATAAAGATTAATAAAATTAAAGTGATTAATATATTATAAAAATAAAATTAATTCCATCGTTTTGACTAGATATTATTCAAAATCTCTTACTTTGTACAAAATCTCTTGCTTTATATAAAGTTTACTTTATGTAAAGTTTATTATATATTTGTATTTTTTATAACTTTATAATAAATTAAAAAAATATTATATCTTGTTATATTAATGTTAGCTTCCCCTGACAAATAATTATAATTATAACTGGCCTTGCATGAATCCATCTTTCTTATATCTGCAGATAATATAATATAATATTAAAAAAAAAAAAAAAAACCTCACCGATCAACCTACCAAATATTTTAGGCTCATCATCCCACTAAGAAGATATAAATTTCAAATGCATGAAGGAGACCCCAAAATGAAAACAATGTTTGATAATCTTGTAATTATATTCCTACCTCGTACAGTAAACCCCAAAATGAAAACAATGTTTGATAATCTTATAATTATATTCCTCCCTCGTACAGTAAACAATTTTCTCCACAAAGATTACACAGCATGTAGGACTGAAAATTTAGCTGCGTTCACAGTCAACTGCCGACAAAGTTCCCAAGCGTCCTTTAAAGTTGATGGAAAGATCGATAGTGAGAGGGAAAGATGGTGCCTTTCTTCGTCGTCATTTATTCCTTTACAAGACAGATGCATTATTAAAAAAATTGATTTGAATCATTTCCAGAGAATATTTTGTAAAATATTTGAATCAAATCCAGAAGTATCTTCCTGTAAAATATTAAATCTTCGTTTTAGCCCTTTAATGTTGAATCTTGGTTCCATCTTTTTATATCTGCGGATAATATTTTATAGAAAAAAATCACGCATCAACCTACAAATATTTTAGGCTCACCATCCCGCTAAACATGAGAGGATAAAAATTTCACTACCAGAATTCACCTAAAGTCAATAGAATTATTGACGAAATACTTTTATTAATAAATTACGGTGATAATTATGAACGGCCACTATTTTGTCTATAATTCAATTGGTATATATTATTTGTTGGCATATACCAACTAAATTATAGATGGAATATATAGAATTTGAAAGAAAAAAAAACAGTTTGATTTCATGGAAGTTTTTGCGGGTGATTTAACCGATGGACTTACCGAGGAATTCAAAATGGGATCTCTATATAGTGATGCGACAAATCCACCATTGAACTTATTGATAGAATCGCTGAAAGGATGAGTTCGTTAGAGTTTCCATTGGTAAGAGCTAATATATAACCACTCTACCGACCCTCTCCTCCTCTATTTCTCCTTCTGTGTCATTCTAACTCTCCCCTCCTAAACTGCAAACAACCACCCAAAAAAAAAATCCCCCTCTTCTCAACACAAGTTGTATTTTTTGAAATTTTGTGGTCATAGCATCCGTGTTCTGATTTATTGTGGATTTTATAATTTTTTATAAGTAAATCTATCTTTTTTAATTTTAGCATTTAAATGTCATTTTTTTTAGTATATGTATTTTGTTAGTGCATATACATGTTTTATTGTTATTTCTCAAACAAACTTGTAGTATGAATGTATAATTTGTACTTGTTATGGTTTGTTTTAGATTTTGTAAAATTATATTTGTTTGTAAATTATTGAAACTTTGTTGAATTACCGAATTATATTTAATGTTGTGAAATAATTAATAGCTTGTTTAACGGGTCCGTTTTAATTTTTATCAATACTATTGCGGAGTTGTAATTTTTATAAATTTATATGTATAAATTTGTATAGACGTTGATAATTGATAATGAATATTTATAAGAAGTTTTAATTAGTTTGTTGGATAATGTCGAGGCAAACCAATATTTTTACAAATTTATTTACATAACATAGTTAATTAATACATGTTGTCGTCATAATTTTATATAGCTTCGATAGAAGTCATGGATAATTGTTCATGAATGTATCGGGACTCAACCCAAGGATTACGGAGGATAGATTATTGTAATGGGTTATAGGGTTTTATTAATTTCGCAACATCTATTCTGAGGAATTTTAATGATGGCAGTATTAGGTGTCCATGCAGGAAGTGTAAAAATAAAAAATTTTCTACATCAAGATGTTGTAATGATGCATCTTTTAACCAAAGGGTTCATGGGAGATTGCCTGTGTTGGTATGCACACGGAGAACTATTTGTTCCTAATGAGAACATGATAGAAAGGTGGTTGGGTTAACTTCTAGTGCTAGCAACATGCATAAAGTTGGGAATGACAACAGTAATCGTTACAAGAATATGGTTATGGATGCAATGAGAATAAGTGAAGGTAATGTCAGTGAATGTCCAATCGTAGAATAAAAACCTAATGCAGATGCAACAAGGTTTTTTGATCTGTTGAAAGATTCTAACAGACCATTATGTGATGGCTGCATAAACCACAATAAATTATCTGTCATAGCACAGGTGTTCACCATCAAGTCAAATCATGAATTGAGTGAGGACGGTTATGACAAGATTATTGAATGGGCGAGAAGCATTTTACCTTAATGGAATAGGCTGAAAGAGAACTTCTATGCTGCAAAGTCCATGATGAAACCCCTCGGTTTAGGATACTAGAAAATTGACATATGCCCTAACTTCTGCATGTTATACTACCTTGAAAATGCTGAGCTGACTGAGTATATGACATGTGGGCATTCCCGTTATAAACACAGAATTGGTAAGGGAAAGACTCTCGTGGCATATAAAAAACTTAGATACTTCCCAATCACACCTAGATTGCAGAGGTTATTCATGCCACCAAGGATTACTAAGCACAAGATATGGCATCAATTACATGATGTGGTTGATGAAGTGATGATATATCCTTCTGACGACGAAGCATAGAAACACTTTAACAATGTGCATCCTCACTTTTTAGTTGAATCAAGAAACATGCATATTACGTTATGTACATATGAATTCAACCCATTCGGGTCTTTTTTTGCTCCTTATTCTTATTAGCCAATCATACTGATGGTTTATAACTTGCCACCAGGGATGTGTATGAAGTCGAAGTTCACATTTTTATCTATGGTCATACCAAGTCTGAGCAATTCGGGGTGGAATATAGATGTTTATCTTCGATTGTTGATTAATGAGTTGGCATAGTTGTAGTCCTCTAGAGCTTTAATTTATGATATCTCGAGGAAACAGAATTTTGTTATGAGAGCGAATTTGTTGTGGACTATCAATGATTTCCTAGCTTATGGAATGGTTTCTAGTTGGAGCAAACATGAAAAACTAGCATGTCCATAATTATATGGAGAATAACAAGGCATTCATGCTAACAAAAAGGGGTAAAGCTTTTTTTCTATTGTCACCATCGTTTCTTGCCACCAAATCATAGGTACAGAAAGCAGAAATGGACAAAGTATGGTGACATTATGTTTGGTCAAAGTATGGTGACATTATGTTTGGTCTCCAATCAGGTAAGCAGAAATTTCCTGGTTTTGGTTTGACCTATAATTGGGTAAAGTGAAGTATCTTTTGGGAGCTTTCTTATTGGAAGACCAATTTTATCCGCCATAACCTTGACGTAATGCACTCTGAAAAGAATATTTTTTAGAACATTTTCAATATCGTTATGGATGTGAAAGGGAAGACAAAGGACAACATCAAAGCTAAATTAGATTTAGCGTTATTTTATAACCGTAAAAATATGGAGTTGTCACAAAACCAAGAGCAAGCTCTGTGTTAGAGAAAAACGCATAACTACTAGTTTATAAATGGCTTAAGAGTCTGTATTTTTCTAATGGACATGCCTCAAACATATCAAGGCTATTTAATACGAAGGAATGCAAATTATATGGAATAAAAAGTCATGACTGCCATGTGTTTATGCAAACACTCATCCCATTAGCTTTTCATGATTTGGTGTCAAAGGAGATATGAGATGCACTCACGGATATCAGTCATTTCTTCAGAGATATATGCTCCAGCAAGTTGAATGTTGATCATATTGAAAGGCTTAAAATGAATATCATTGAGATAATATGCAAACTTGAGATGATATTTCCTCTATCATTTTTTAACTCAATTGAGCATCTACCCGTACATTTATTGTTTGAGGTAAAATTTGGAGGACTGATCTAGTATAGATGGATATATCCATTTGAGAGGTTAGATATTATAGTTGCTATGTAATTCATAATTAAACATTTTTTTCATTTTTATAATTAATAATTTTTTTAATTCTATATATACAGGTACTTGTTCAATC